AAAACCGAATATTTTATTACATAAAAGTCTATCTATGGATATAATGAGCACTCCGTATAATCTCTTGACAAAGTGCTACTATATCAAGTAGACCTGGCAATCGGGTCAATCGGTTCGGTTCCGGTTCGGGTCTTTTCGGTTCGGGTCTCATTCGGATATATGTTATAATCGGATCGGGTCGGTTCGGATCGGGTCAGTTCGGTTCCGGGTTAATTTCGGGTTGACTGGTTTTTGGTTTCGGTTCGGTTTTGGTTTGGGTTTGTATCGGATCGGGTTTATATTGGTTTGGGTTTGTATCGGTTCAGGTTTATATCGGTTTGAGTTTATATCGATTCAGGTTTGTATCGATTTAGGTTTATATTAGTTCAAATATATATCAAATATTTACTAATAAATCAATAATATCACATAATAAATTTAATTAATTTATGATATACTCCGTAGTTATTTTATTATTTAACACGGACGTACGTAAAATTTAATCCATTTTGGGTCTAATCGGTTCCGGGTTTAATCGAGTTTGTGTTTTATCGGTTCGGGTTTAATCGGATTCGGATCTGAATCGGGTCTGAATACATTCGGTTCTGGTTCGGTTCGGTTCGTGTCATTTCGGGGGTTCGAGTCTATTTCGGTTCTTCAGTTTTCGGGTCAAATGGGGTTTCGTTCTGGGTTATTCGGTTCAGGTTATCGGGTCCGGGTCAGTTTTGCCAGGTCTAATATCAAGTATGCCTTTTATAATCATTCTTATAATCCCTTAATAAAAAATGAGACATACAAAAAGAGACACAAAAAAATAAGATTAAATGTTTTCAAAATTATTGGGGTACATCGAATACATTATTGGTTAAAAGTCGGGTTCGGGTCGGGTTCGGGTTTCGGGTTGAAATGTCGGGTTCGGGTCAGGTCGGGTTTTTGGCTTAAAAGGTTGGGTTTCGGGTCGAGTTCGGGTTTCGGTTTTAAAAGTCGGGTCGGGTTCGGGTAAAGTACTATCCGACCCGAACCCGACCCGTTGCCATCCCTGCTAATAACTTCAGCTCAACCGCTCCGATACCAATTGTAAGTTCGTGGGGTCCAGCGGAAATCACCAATTGAAAGCTCTGCAAACAGATCAAATAACTATGCTGCAGAGAAGATACTGTAGCACTGTCAGAGTAACAGATGACAGACATAGTGCTATAATATATTCTCTATCACAAGTACACATGCAGAATATAAAGTAAAAATAGTAAGCAAAACAACAAAATTGTTTATGCAGTTCAGAGAACTCTCCTATGTCCGCGAGGCCCATGTTCATGTAATAGCCCTCCACTAAATCACTACGTGCAAGTTACACCGGTACAAAACAACATGACTATAAGACACACTTCTCCAAATTGTTATGACACAATTTCTAATCTAGGATTTCTAACCCGTACCTTGTATAGATCCGCTTCGGCTATCACATCTCCACCGAGATCACGAGGACAAACGTGTTGGCAGCCCACTTGTTCAGCTCTAATTCATTTCCTATATGTCACAATCTGTTTGGCATTGAAAATCTCCTCCTTCATGTAGATCGTAACCTTCTTCATGAATAGGAAGCTCCGAGACGTGACGGGAATACTCTACATCTGCGTATATTCTTTGTTTTCCCTCTGGACCGCTCTCCGTAATTCCGAGGGACCTGCTGCGTCTTTTTAGGCCAATCAAAACCCAATCCTAGTAGGGATAGGTTAGTAGGATTTGGCTTGAATACAACTTCCTTAATCTTGATCCACAAGTAGCCTAAAGAGTTGGTATTCCTTAACACGTACAGCTAAAGTTATTATCATGTAGTCACAATCCCAATAGGTCTCTGATTCAGATTTAAAGCTTAAAATCCCACGCTTAGACTTTTGATCCCGAACAATGTGTTGCAGCATCGTGCTATAGTATCTTCTGTGTCAACCTAGAAAACTGCAGCAACTCTAGAAGTCTAAATAAAATAAACTCTCCTAACAAATAGAGGTTTCTACCTAGTAAAACACCTAACAAATATGGGATTCTATTTTGCCAAAAGATTAGCCAACACCATGGAACTAATAGTACGATGCGATCTTGCTATCCAACCCCGCCGTCTCCAGGACTTATTGACTGAGTGAAAATTTCACTCCACCACTACACGACTTGATTGATGGCGAGATTGGTGCCCATTAAATGTTGATTGGCGCTAGGCTCGTGCCTGAATAGGGGCTTATTACCTTAATTAACCTCCTCCACCCTATATAAAGAGATTGTAAGAGTTGGAGGAGGGACATTCAATCATTCATACACATACTTGTACACTCTTGAGACAGAATAAGAAATATAAGTTCGGCAAAAATAATTTTTTTCTGGTCTAAGTCACTCTTGTGTTACTTAATTTCTTGTGTGTTTGGCTTATCCGACAGAGTTCGTTTGGCCAGGTCGTACCCGGTCAAATTTATACTATCAGCTGAAAAAAATAGATGATTCAAGAAATTATTGGTGATAGTATTAAATTAAATGCTCCCTCTATCCCACAATGCTTTACATCTTTCACTATTAAAAAATCACAAAAACTTTTATTTATTTAGGTGTTTTTATACATTATTTGATAAAATAAAATATTCATGTCACATCTTTTTTTGTAGAACTTTTGACGTACTTTTTAAATATAAAAATTTTATTATTAATTTATATAGAAATCTTTAAATACACGGAATTCCAAAAATTGAATTTTTACTTCATTTTATATTTACACTAGTTCATTTAGGGGTGGAGGGAGTATTCACCATTCGAAGTTCCTTCAATTTCTTCTCGTGAGAGAGTTGCTAGTTTGTAGGTCTCGGGGCATAAGATAACATTGATGACATATGGTATACAACCGGATGTACGGTACATTAAGAAAATTTCTCCCATTTGCAAAGAAGGTATATGGTATACAACCGGATGTACGGTACATCCGGGTAGTACCCATTCTGAAGTTGTTAGAGAATGATTGGAACTTGAATTGAATTTGTTCATTGAAACAAAGCACCATAAATATGAATATGGGTCGATACAAACGAGGAGTCCTATACAAAAAATCCCAATATACAAATCATACACATAAAATATATATATCATGCTAACACTCCCCCTCAAGTTGGGGCATAGATATCATAAATGCCCAACTTGGATAATAATGACTGAAACAGAGGACCAGGAAGCGCTTTGGTGAAAAGATCTGCCGTCTGAAGACGCTTAGGGACGTATGCTGTGACAATGTGATTATGCTAAATACAATCACGAACAATGTGACAATCGATGTCAATATGTTTAGAACGTTCATGGAACACCGGATTGGCATCAATAAACAGAGCAGACTTGTTGTCACAATATATAGAGTTTCGAAGTAGCTACACAAGGAACATTCAATGCAGCGAGTAGGCCACGAAGCCATCGTATCTCAGTGCAGGCATTCGCCATTGCCCTATATTCAGCTTCAGCAGAAAAACGTGAAACTGTGGTTTGCTTTTTAGTACGCCAAGAAACGGGAGAACCACCAAGCAAATTAAAATAACCATTGATAGAACAACGAGTGAGAGGACAACTGGCCCAATCAGAATCTGAAAAGAAAGTCAAAGCAAGATTACTATCACTGCGTAACAAAATGTCTTGGCCAGGATGACCCTTGAGGTAACGGATCACACGTAAAGTCGCATTCCAGTGGTCTAATCGTGGAGCTTGCATGAACCGGGATAAAGTATGTACAGCATAACAAATATCAGGACGAGTAATGGTCAGATATAAAAGACGACCCACAATACGTCGATACTTCGTAGGAGTCTCGAAACTCAACACTAGTGGAGCGACACAAGTTATGAGTAGGTGGCAAGGGAGTATCAATTGGTTTATAACTTGACAGATTGACCTCTTGAATAATATCCATAGCATACTTCCTTTGGTTTAGAACCATACCTACCGGAGAGCGAGCACACTCAATGCCTAAACAAAAAGAGACACGTCCAAGATCCTTGAGATGAAAACAAGCATCCAGGTACTTTTTAAATGTCGAACACAGCTCGGCATTATTTTCTGCCACGAGAATATCATCAACATATACTAATACAACCATTATATCAGGTCCCTGACGAAAAATGAACAATGTGTGGTCAGCGTGGGCCTGACGAAAACCATAACGTCGTAAGGCCATACGAAGTTTGGTAAACCAATTACGAGGGGACTGTCGAAGTCCATACAAGACTTGTGCAGTCAAAGACTTTGCCAGGAAACAACTGTAACGCCCCAAAACATGGTCTAAAAGTTATTCTATTATAAAAGTATTTTTAGAAACCATATTTTGACTCAACAAAGCATTATTTCTATGTTTGACCAAAAATGAAGGAATTTTTGGAGTCAATAATTTTTTTAAAGATTGACTTTTATGGATTAGTCTCGAAGAGACGAATCCAACGGTATATTNACTCAACAAAGCATTATTTCTATGTTTGACCAAAAATGAAGGAATTTTTGGAGTCAATGATTTTTGTTAAGATTGACTTTTATGGATAGGTCTCGAAGAGACGAATCCAACGGTATATTTTATGAATAAATCTGATGTACAGAGGTTCAGTTATGACATTTTAAATATGTAATTTGTATAAAAATGAGAAAAAGTCAAAGATGTGAACTTTTGTAAAATGATTTATTGAAATAAATATTTATATTTAATAATATTGATTGAATATGAGACTAATTTTAATTACATATCAATTAATTCAATTTTGACTCTATCAAAGTCAACACCCAAAAATATGCTGTCAGAAAAAGTATTTCAAATAAATATAAAAGTTATATCATTAAATAGAGTTTGAGTGTCTGATCGCAACGGTGTAAACGGATTTTAATTTGGATAAAGTTGGACCAAAAAGTGTACCCCAATTGAGGTAATTTAATCAAACTAAACTGGAAGGAATTAAATTAGCCGCCCCCTCCACTCACCTTAATCGACGGAAATCACAGGCCATAGCTACGCAACTCCAGGCTAATAAATATAGAGCAAGTCATTCTTCATCATCTCCACACAAAATCATCCCATTAGTTAGAGGAGAGTTTAGAGAGTTGAGAGAAGCTGTCCGGAGAGCTTCCTGTCGCCGGAGCAAGCCATGGTGTTCGCCTGAAGTTTCGTCATTTTTCCGCGGGAATCATCGTTTTACTTCGAAGTAAGCCCGTAGATATATCTAGTGATTAGAATGTTCGTATAGATCGTTTCTACGTTCATAAATGGTCCTTTGGTTGAGTTTTGTGTTTGACATTTGTGAAGAACCAAGAATCATAAATCTTGAATTTGTTGTTAAAACTTCGAATTGATGCCTCTAAAATGACCTACGAACCTTGGAGAACATTTCTATATAGTTTAATTGAAGTTTGGTGACCAAAAATGGAACTTGAGAAAAATGGGTTAGAGGTTGAAGATGATGAATAGTGAACCTTCAATTTCCTGCATTTTCCAACGGAACGGACGACCGTTCGGACCCAACGGTCGACCGTTACGAACATTTTTAAGCCAAAAAATGCTATTTTTGAAGCTATAAAATCCTATTTTTTTATATACCAATCAATTATGATCAATATAAAAATAATTGTTAAAAATAAAAATGATGTTTTGACAAATAAAATTTTATGTGATAAAATAAAAATGATGTTTTGACAAATAAAATTTTATGACGGTAAGCTAAGGTGTTAACACTCGATGCTAGGCCTCTATTTGTTATTAGATATTGTGATGATTATTATTGATGTTGTTTATGATTAGACTTTGATGAGTATTATTAAAATAATAATTACGAATGATTAAATCATGATTAAAAAATGAATATATTGATGATTATGAAAATGATGTATATTGTTAAGGATATCTAGAAGAACTCTAAGATATACCCACTTGGAAAATTGATGATGATTACTAAATATATCTAGAAGAACTCTAAGATATACCTCCTTGACCAATTCATAATTCGGGGTTAAAACGTATGTACGGGATCCAGACCGGATATCACCCACCCGACAGATCACTGTTCGGTTTGGTACGTAATCCACATGACTCTTAGGGTGGATTATCGATTCTTGTGTTCTGCATTAAACTATTTATAGTTTAAGGGCCTGGTTAGAAATATTGCCTTATACTAGGGATAGCTAAGAGCTTGTATAAAAATGATTTGGACTTAGATTAAGAATAATTTAAGAGCACTGAAGAAATATTGAATATTGAATATATCATGAAATGACTTAAAATAAAATATTTTGAATATCATGAATAATGTATGCTTGAAATATGTATAGTGTGCATGATATCAAATGGTTAATTATGAATTGAGATTCAATTTATATGGATGTTCGATGCATTAGATATGCTTACTCAGCTTCAACTCTGAGCGTGTAGTATGTTTTATTTGCTACACGCAGGTAAACAAAAAGAATGATGTGATGGAATCCTGGCGGCAGACGGAGCGAGATGGTCAAAGTGGATGTGTGAAATGAATTAAAGTTTAAAAAGACATAATATAATTATGTTTTTAATTGTTATTTATTCAGCTTCCGCAACATTAACTACTCTGTTATTATTCTGAATAATTTATTATGAAATAAAGTTTTAAAATGCTTGAAATCTTTTGAATGTTTACGAATACCAAGTTTATACTTTAGTCTGAAAGGGGCTGCAGACCTGGACGGATTGGGGTGTTACAACAACTGCTCATAACTGGGAGGAAGTTTTATATAAATCTCATCCTGCAAATCTCCATGAAAAAGGCATTATTAACGTCTAACTGATCCACCTGCCAACCCCGAGCAACAGCAACAGATAATAAGACACGGACTGTGGCTAGCTTAGCTACGGGAGAAAAAGTATCTGTAAAATCCACAACAAACTCTTGATGGTTGCCCAATACAACTAGGCGAGCTTTATCCCGCTCTTTGGTGCCATCAGAGCGATATTTAGTCCTGTACACCCATTGACAACCTAGGGTCTTCCAATTCGGAGGTAGATCTGTAATATCCCATGTATGATTGCGCTCTAGAGCTAAGAATTCCTGCGCCATGGCCTCACGCCACGAAGCATACTGAACAGCTTCGCGGTAGTTACGTGGGACGAAGGAAGCATCAATAGCACCAAGAAAATCTTTGTAACTGTCATGTATTTTATTATAATGAACAAAGTGAGTAAGAGGAAACCGTGTACCTGATGAAGACGGACTGGGCACCGAAGAAATAGGATGAATGATCTTTGCAGAATGGAAGACATAATCATGGAGATGAGAAGGTAGACGACGAGTTTGAGGAGATAAAGAGAAGGGGAAACCGGCGGAGAAGTGGTCTCCACCGAGGAAGTTCCCGGACTGGAATATGAAGACAGAGGCGGTGAGGGTGACGGACTACTGACAGACGAAGGGGAGGATGCCTGGGACGAAGGAGATGAAGGTTGTGACAACGGAGAAGTTCAATCAATGGGCGTATGGGGTGGATCAGAATTCGGAAGAACTGGGAAATCCTCCGTCGAAGGAACAGAAACTGGTTGAGAAGGCATTCGGGTCAGAATGGCAAACAGGAACTGGGTTTCATTAAAGGTGACATCCCAAGTGTGAAAAAAATTATGTGTTTCAAGATTCTACACTCTGTTTCGTAAGTTACCCCGTCCAATCTCCATCTTCGACGAACGCTCCTGCATTACACAACAATGATCATTAAAAACAACATGACAAGTAGTATCACGAACCAAACATCCAACAAATATCAAATGACAGTGTAAATTTGATACATATAACACATTATGAATGACCAAACTAAGGGAAAGTTGCACACTTTCCTTTTTCACAGCCTGAATGCGAGTCCCATCAGGAAGACAAATAGAGTGAGGATAAACAACCTCGAGATTAAATAAATGTGATAAAATTCTTGTCATATGATGTGAGTCTCCACTATCAATTAACCACTCACAAAGTGTGAAGTCATCAAACCATTCCTTTGATTGGACATAGAAGAGTCAATAAGAGACATTAACCAATTCATTTTATCATCATTCAATTTCGTAGCCATGGGAGGTAGTGAATTGCTGTGTTGGGCTACCTAGAATAAATCAAGGCCGAAGAATCCTTACAAAATTTGTTGCAATTTGCTCACAATTACAAATTGTTTCCAATTTGAAATTTATTGATGGTAAATATCCTTCAACCACCACAACGGATAAGGCCCAATTCAATCTTCTGGCGAAGGATCCTTCAACCAGCACCAAAAAAAAAAAGCCCAACTTCTGGCGACGGAAAAAAACTGCAATCGGGATTCGGGAACAGCCTGCCAGACGAAGATCTTCGAACTGGATCTGCGGATGAAGGCTGCCGGACGAAGACCTGCGATCGGACGAGATGGGATGACAGCTTCAGCGATCGGACGAAGGTTTCTGCAATCAGACGGAGTCGGAGAAGACCTGCGGTTGGGAACAACACGATGGCTTCTGCGAATGAACCAGGTGTCTGAGTTTGCACGGACGGTTGAACAGGCGATGGATAATCGCCGGAAACGACTGACGGAACAGGGTTTGTGGACAAGACGGAAATTTCAGGAACTTTTAATTCTCTGATACCATGTTAGAGAATGATTGGAACTTGAATTGTATTTGTTCATTGAAACAAAGCCCCATAAATAATATGAATATGGGTGGATACAAACGAGCAGTCCTATACAAAAAATCCCAATATACAAATCATACACTAAATTCTATAATTAGTCTTTTATAATAGGCGGGTTTCCATATTTATTTCTCTATTATCAAGTATTACCATTGTAGTCTTTTTTTAAGGGTGCCTTTCCACAAATGACCCCTTTTTCGATCTTCCGCCATGTGTGTGTTAATTTAAAGACTAAAAGTATAATTTGATATCAATATTATGTCTAGTGACGTGTTCTGATATTGGTTAAATGGATAACACAAAAATAATAACTATGATTGTGGGCTAGGATTATGACGGAAGACCACATTCGTAGACAATGATTGTAGTAGAAAGTGAAAGTAATTCACAAACGATGCAAACGGAACAACCTTTGGAATTGTGTATGACAAATTGGATATATTATCTTTGTGAAACTAGACTTTTAGCCCTCAAATTAACTCTAACATGATAGAAGATCAAAAAAAGGACTACTTGGGATAGATACCCATAAAAGAAGGACTACTGGGGTCATATTTGATAATAGAGGACTAAATAAAGAAACATCCTTGTTATAAAGGACCAATTATGGAATTTACTCTAAAATATGGGGAAAGTTCCCATGACATTGGGAACCAATGTCATAGAATGACCTGGTGGCGCTCCGGTGCCCCGTTCGTAAAATTGACGATTCCTACCCCCTAACCCCCGGTAAACCCCCCCACCCCGCCTCAACCCGAACACACCCCCCCCCACCCCCTTCAATTGCACCCCACAAGTCGATTTTGACTTTGGAGTCAAAATTTGACTCCAAAGTCAAAATTAAATTGTGGGGTGCAATTGAAGGGGGTGGGGGGTGTGTTCGGGTCGGGGCGGGGTGGGGTGGTTTACCGGGGGGGTTAGGCGGGGTAGGAACCGTCAATTTTACGAACGGGGCACCAGAGCGTCCCCGGGTCAACCCATGACATTGGTTCCCAATGTCATTGGAACCAAGGTTCTAAAATATATATACACGCTAACAGAAGTAGAGTAGTATTCATTCTATTCATTCTCAAATAATTTAGTGATCATTCTCATTTAAAATAAAATTCATACTATAAATAATTTTTTGGTTATACCCAAAATTGGGTACAACCGGATGCATAATATAATTTGCCCCCTTTGCACGGGCTTGCTTTTTTCCTTCTTTTGCGGGACATAATCTCCCAATTGAAATCTTAAGGCTTTACTCGATCATGAATTTAATATGTACTCCCTCTGTTCCACAAAACCCTTCTGGTTTTTGACTTTGGGAAAAAATAAGGAAAGTGAAATTTTGGTTGACTTTTGAATTTTGTCACTGATGTGATGGGAAAAAGTAAGATGTGATAGTTTGGTTATTAGTGAAAAAGTATGATGTGATAGGTAGGGTATGGAAAACTAAGGGTAACAGTAGTTTTTTAATGGAAACTGTGAGTGTTTTGTGGAAAGCAAAAAAAAACGAAAGGGGAAGTATTTTGTGGAACGGAGGGAGTACTATTTTTATTAAAAATGTGTGAAATATGAACTTATATTAATTAATTAATAATTTAGGAATGATTTTCCAAATAAAAATAATTTAAAATATAAGTGAATAATGTTAAAAATAATAAAATTACTGTAATAAATTTAACTTTAGTTATCAAATTAGACCAAAACGGCTCAGATATATTCAGATCAGGTTCATTTAAATTAGATAAGAATATAACACATTAATTGAAATCAGATTGGTTTAGATCTAATCATTACCAATTGACGAAAGTAACATAACCTTATAGTGCCTAATAATGTCTACCCATAATAATAAAAAACAATATAATATGAAATTCTATACACAATGCCAAATTGTAATCGGGAAAAAGACTACAGTAGGAGTAAAACATTGGAAATATACCAAAATAGAATATTTATGTTTTTATTCTCGAAGTAGGAGTAAAAATGCATTTACGTTACCAAACATGGTCATTTACGTTACCAAAAAGTATATATATAGTAATGTGCGCACATACAGTGCTACATTACAACCACATTGCCACAATGCGAAGTCCTATTTCGAGAATAAAAGAATGAAAATCTTATTTTGATAATTTTTCTATGTTTTAGTCCTATTTAGGGTGATTTGTGATTATATTTACAATGTGATGATGAAATACTTCTATAAAGAGTAAAAATGCATATGAGCTGGGGTTTTATTTTTGGTATTTTTCATTGCGTAATTTAACTTTGATAGATTTATTTTCAATATATGGGTCCGGTAACACACAAAAAATTACAAATAAAAAGGAGGGAACAAACTAACTAAGCAACCACCCAAGCATATATAAACCAACGGCTCCATAACGAAGCTTGATTAGAGTATGGCAGAAGATAACGCCCATGATACGGCGGCGAGGAAGAAGCTCAGAGTATGCAAAGGAGCTCGGACGCCGCTACCGGCCGACGCGAAATCAGTGGTGGAGGGAGCTCTCTTTGATCCTGATCCATATTCATGAATGCATGTATATTTTTTTGAGTTAATAACATGCAGAAATGTTAATATAACAGTACATGTCACGCTAGGCAATTAAGCTAGCTGGCTAGATAGAAACATTGATTGGATTTATATTATACTCCTTCCGTCCACACAAAAGATTATCCATTTTGATGTTTTTTGATCAAACAGTTACGCGCTTTAACCATCAATTACATACCCTTTCCGTTCTTTTAAACCCTTCCCATTTTGACTTTGGGCAAAAATAAGGAATGTGTAATTTTGATTGACTTTCCATTTTTGCCCCTGAGGTGATGTGTAAAAGTAACATGTGGTAGTTTGGTTATAAGTGAAAAAGTATGATGTGATAGGTAGGGTATGAAAAAGTATGGATAAAAGTAGTTTTTTAATAGAAAGTAGAAGTGTTTTAGGGTATTAGAAAAAAACGAAAGAGGAAGGGTTTTACGGAACGGAGGGAGTATAATCTAAATAAAGAAACCTTATAAAAGTTTGATAGAAAAAAACTAGATACTAAGATGAATCCCATTATATTAAATTTATATTATAATTCAATATATTTTTCTTACAATTTATATTCAAAGTGTATAATTTTTTGATCAAATATTATTCAAAATAGGTAATGTTTTGTGAGACGGAGGGAGGAAGATTCACTCGCCTGATGTAGGGAAGCTAGATTCTGGCGGCGGCGTTGTGGGCGTTTCTGAATCGGGTGCTTTAGAAGAACCCGCCGAAGAAGTTGATGGTGGTGGCACTGCGCGTGGAGAAGTACTTTGCCGTCCATTTCCAGCTGTTTCAATTTTATCACAACTAGTTATTTCTGCGTAAGATCTTATATTTAAAATGTGTAGTAGTAAATACCCCCAATCCAAAAATAAAAATAACGCCTTGCGATGAGGGGATTTGACTTTTCAATATCGACAAATACACTGAGAAGATGAAGTATGTAGAGAGTAAATATTAGAAATATTTGTACTAAATATTACGGAGTATTAAAACTTAAGTCATTTCCCTAAATAGCACTTAAATTATGTTTTTCCGTAAATAACATTTAATAATGTACAGAAGGGGGAATAATGTCGAGTGATGACGAACATTTACTTGAATAATAACTTATACTCCCTCCGTTCCTTTAAACCTTTCCACTTTTGACTTTTGGCAAAAATAAGGAAAGTGTAATTTTGGTTGACTTTCCAATTTTGCCCTTGATGTGATGGGTAAAAGTAAGATGTGATAGTTTGGTTATTAGGGAAAAAGTTTGATGTGATAGGTAGGGTATGAAAAAGTAAGGGTAAAAGTGGTTTTTTAATAGAAAGTGGAAGTGTTTTAGGGAATTCAAAAAAAACGAAAGGGGAAGAGTTTTGTGGAACGGAGGGAGTAGATAATAACTAGGTATGCTATATTGAAAAAAAATACATATAGTGCTATTTAGAGAAAGTCATTATGTTTTAGTGTTATATACTCCGTATTTAGGTAAATATTAACCTACCATTATTGCATGTGTTGACGGGAGGAGTGTGAAGATTGCAGGCAGCAGGGATGAGGGCGGCGAGAGTTTGATTAATGTCGACCCCGAAGCTGGAAGCGCCACCATTCAGCAACGAGCAAAGGCATTGCGGGGTTGACCGGACGATGTTGGAGAGCTGGGTGCAGCAAGAAGAAGACGGCAGCGGCGCTGAAGATTTGCCGGTGGCGTAGCTGATGCACGACGACAGGCTCAAGATTGCAGTCATGCAGTTTGATTGTGCAGAAACGCCGCCGGTCCAGGCAGCTTCGAGGCTCGTCATTAATATGAATATGCTTACAATTACTTTGGTATTATTAGAAGAAGTCATTCTTTAATGTATTTTGAGATATTGTCACAAATATTTAATTTATAGAAGAATATCTCTCTATTATTTTTTCTTTCTAATTTAAACCCCTGATTGAGATAATTAGGGAAATTGATTTGAAACAAATGATACGTTTGAGGGTTTAATATACTCCCTCCGTCTCATTAAACCTTTCTCCTTGTTGGTGATTTTAGTGTCATCAATTTATTTTGTGTAATTGGATTTACTTTGATCGGACAAGAATTTAAATAGACGTTGTCAAACGAATTAGGAGGCGCAGAGTGCGCGCTAGTTCAACGATATTATAAATTCACTGCGGGGGTCCGGGGGCGGCAGCCCCCGGGTAGCGGGGTCCAAGGGGCGGCAGCCCCTGACGGGGTCCAAGGGGCAGAGCCCCTGGCCGGGGTCAGCTTGGAAATTTTTTATTTCGGACGTTGTTTCTTTAAGAAAATCCTTAAGATTTTCGTGATCGGAGTCCAAAACGGTAAAGGACTCTTACATAATGGATAAATGTCGAAATTAAGCCTTCAACCGCAGGAGACCTTTCGTTCAAACTCACACCTTTCTTCTTCTTGCGCGAACGTACGCGTACATCTACGCGAACGTTCATGTCCGATCACAAGGATTTTCGACTCTATAAAATAGAGTCTCGTGGTATGGGTTGAGGAACAGATTCTCGAGTGCTTGTTCTGAATTAACGTCTTATCCGATTGAAGTATTTCGTATACCCCAAAATAACTTTGATCTGAAAGCGTTTCGTACGCGATTCGTTATTCTATCGAGTTCTTCGTTCAACACTGCTTCGCAGTGTTCTTCCTTTTATAATTCCAACACTTCTTTCTTTTTTATCCGTTCCACAAAACACTTCTCATTTCTATTAAAAAGTCAGTTTTACCCCTTACCTTTTCATACCCTAACTATCAGATCATACCTTTTTACTAATAATCTATTCATCAAATCATACTTTTACACATCACATCAAAAGACATTTTTGGAAATTTAATACCAAAATACACTCCACTTAAATCCCTCTTAAAAAGCAAAAGTCTGATGTTTCATGGGACGGAGGGAGTATATAAGCAGGTTAATGATAGAGTTAATTAGGAAAAGATCGAACGAACCGCTAGCTGTTCTCTTTTTTTGTTGGTGAGACTGTTGATCTAATTAAAATTAAAGTAATTGCCTCGTAATTACACATTTACACTGTATAGGCCTTCACAAACCAGTTTTTTTAGTTAAACTACCCTATCATTTGCTATCTTCCCAAACCAATACATCTGTCGTCGTCTACCTACCTAAACAACTAAGTTTGATCATAACGGCGCACTTGTTTGTTACGACCAAAGGACAGTTAAAGACGGTTGGTCAGTTCCAACAACATATGGATTTTACTAGAACGTACTCCCTCCGTACCTGAAAACCTTTCTCTTTTCTTTTTTTATCCGTTCCAAAAAACACTTCTCATTTCTATTAAAAAGTTACTTTACCCTCATCTTTTTTACGTCCTACCTATCACATCATACTTTTTTACTAATAATCTATCTATCAAATCATACTTTTACCCATCACATCAAAAGACATTTTTGGAAATTCAATACCAAAATACATTCTCCTTAAATCTATCTTCAAAATCAAAACTCCCATCTTTTCGGGACGGAGGGAGTACTACTTACACACACGGCTATCCATTAACAAACCTAAAATGTGTTACACAAAATATTCATAAATATTTGCATTAAATAGCACCAAAACATAAATCATTTTCCAATGTAGGATTTTAACTATTTTATTCTCTAAATAACAATTAATAATATTCGGAAATAGGAATAATGTTCAACGATGGTAAATATTTACTTGAATAATGACTAATCGATAATGACTAAAAGTGTTACATTGAAAAAAATATATATAATGCTTTCTAAAAAAAGTTATTCCCTCCGTCCCTAAATAAACTTCCCTTTTTGATTTTTTAAGGATTTAAGGAAGAGATATTTTTGTGTTGACTTTCCAAAAATAGGCTTGATGTGATGTGTAAAAGTAAGATGTGATATATAAATTAGTAAAAATGTATGATGTGATAGGTAGGGTATGAAAAAGTAAGAGGTAAAAGGAGTTTTTTAAGGGAAAAGAGAAGTTTATTTAGAAATAAAAAAAACGAAAGGAAAAGTTTATTTAGGGAGGGATGAAGTATTATTTCTAACGTTATTTAGATAATTCCTCAAATATTAATACTACTATAGCAATTTGTCATAACTAGAGTTGTTCAAATTGGACCTTTTTATTACCAAGACTTGTCAAACATTATACTCCTCTCTTTATGGACATTAATGACTTGAAAGCAGTATAACTGTCACAACCAATTCAACCTATATATGCATTGACCAACAACTCCATCATTTTTCAAGCCAAGTAGCCAACTGGTTAGCCATTTTCCGCAAACACATCAAACTGTAAACTCCATATATATATATATATATATATATATATGGAACATCTGAGCGAACATATATATATGCATGCATCAAAACCATATAATAAACTAATTAACGGCCATTAGAAATTAATTAATTAATTAATTACTCGTAAAAGAAGAATGAGTGGCGGCAGTTTATATTTCTTGCCGCCACCAGTGGTGGTGAAGGCGATGGCGATGTCCGTAATGATGACCTGTTTGGGCGGCACTGCGGAGGGCAATGGCCAAATGATGACGATAAGCAGTACGCCTTGCACTGCCACAATACTTAACGGTATCACCCCTTGCTTCAGCTTCATCGTCGGCAGCGCCGCCAGTAACGGTTCATTGTCGTCGACTCGTCGGCACAAAGAATGCTGCAACGCACTAAAGTCGATGGTGACTGAGGCGTTGGAATGTGCGTGCCTCATCGCCACCGGAAACGTCCCCTTTTCCATACCCTCCGTCCGCATTCCTCTCCAGCAATGTAATGCTGGTGTGCCACTGCAGTGCAAAGGTATATATTCGCAACTCTCTTTGTACTAGGTGTACCCCATTTGTCCCTCACTCCCTTCTCTACCATCCATTTTTATCTACTTTTTATTTATTTAATTTGTTTTAACATTCTTGCCCATTTTATGTGGTAATGGAGGGAGTGAGGGACAAATGGTGTACACCTTTGGTGTACCCTGCATTTTTCTTAATTAATTCTCCGTGTAGTTCTCATTTACTCTTCGGAACATTCTAAAAAAATTGTCCTCTTTCGCTTTTAAAAAAGTTTTTGTGACACATACTCCCTCCGTCTCGAAAAGTCTTTCTCCTTTAGTTTTTTTTTGTCCCAAAAAGTGTTTCACTTTTCATATTTTTGGACCCTAATACCCTTTACCCTAATTAAAGCTACCCAACCCACCCAAACCCCTCCACCTACCTTATCCATCAATTCACTCCACCTCACCCACTCATTTTCTCATCTCCATCTCCTTTCTCTCTGCCTATTCCACTTCCCCATTGCTGGCACCCTTCTCTCTTCAGATTTCCATTCTCTTTTTCTTTGATTGATCTAAAATTTCTTATGGGGATTCCTGATCCTACGATGCCAAGCTTCAAGCTATTATCTGATAGTGATGAGGAGAGATTGGCTCTTACGCCTGTCCCAACTACTTCGAAGTCTTTAATCCCTGATGGGCAAATACAGGGATGGACAAGTACATTCTACATTAAATGCAATTTACTTTACACTATTTTCTTCTCTTTATTAGATTAGGGTTGGGGGATAAATTTGTCAAGTCAATGACAAAAATTTAACCCCTTAAATTGGTTGAAAGTCAAAACAGGAAAAGGAAAAAGGGACGGAGGGAGTATCTTTTAACTCTTTCATGTGCATCACTATATTTCTATATTTCCAGCCATCCATTGCATGCTGCATTATCAGACAAATAGATACGGAGTCATGTTAAATTTCCATAATTCATGCACGCTACCTTTTTTGTAGGCTCTGGTGTCCCTTTACCAGCACCAGGTACAATTTCAAATCACTCCGTAATTTCTAGTGCTTGTATTGTACTCCCACGGTCCCACAAACCTTTCTAGTTCTGACTTTTAAAGCATTTAAGAGTATATTTTATTGTTAACTTTTTAAAAATGTCTTTGGATGTGACGAGTAAAAGTAGAATTAATGTTGTGTGGCAGTGAAAAAGTGTGATGCGATAAGTAGATTCAAAATTAGCAGTAATAAAAGTGACTTTTAATAGAAACAAGAAAGGTTTCTTGGGCGGATAAGAAAAGAGAAAGGTTTTGTGGGATGGAGGGACTTCAAAGTAGAATATACTCACTCTCGCCTGCATGGGTAGCTCAACTGGCCCAAGGAAAAGATGTCAAGCCCATTGTTCCTAGGGCCAAATCCGTGTTGCGGCAGTGTGTGGGAGTTCTATTATTTATAATAGGTTCTTGAGGGCACTTGGAACGAAGCGACTTCTCTACAGACTAAATTGAGATTATACGATTATTTACCCCCCTCACAATCCTATCGAATCGAGGTGTGGGTGCACCCGGGGTGAGCGTTCCACCTTTTTAGAATATACTCACTCTCTCTTTGCCAAATTTTGACTTTTTATAGTCAATTAGTATCAATATTTGACCTATACTTGAATACAAATTATATTCCGTAATTTCCGGTGTCCCTTTACGAGCACCAGGTACACTTTTTAATCCCTCCGTAATTTCTAGTACTTGTATTGTACAAAGTAGAATATACTTCTATCGTTTATCAACATTTAATCTATCCACAACTACAACTAGGGGTGTTCATCGGGTCAAACCCGGACCGGACCGGCCCGGACCGGGACCGGACCGGGACCGAATAAGGGGCATTTGGTGGATCGAGGACCGGACCGATTAAGCTAAGGACCGGCCCGGGACCGGACCGGTAAAACCCGGACCGGACCGGGACCGGACCGAATAAATGTTACTTTTAATTTTTTTTTTAAATTTTATTTTATTTTTTTAATTTAAAGTATTCAATTGAATAAAAATATTACTACAACTAATTTTTAATTGTAACATGCACTAAACATTATCAAACACAATCCGTATTGCATAAAATCTGTTCATAATTTTTATTTTGCATAGGGAATATACTTCTTCTTAGTACATTTTTGTTTTTTTTGTAATATTTTTTTGAGTTTCGAATTATTTTGACCAACAGATACATTTTTTAGTATTTTTGTTCATGAGATTGTTTACAATGTTTGTCCTGCGTGCTAAATATATTAATTATATTTACTATCTTTGTAATTATTATGTTACCATACCTGTATAGACTTCCTAATATGGCTCTCCTACTATGATTAGGATTGAAGCCTCTACTATATATTGATGTAACCTCTACACAATTATTCAATGAAAATATTTCTTCTTCATGGTATCGGAGCCACAAAACCCTAAACCCTAACCTCCTCCACTCTCTCTCTCTCGGCCCTGCTCGCCGCCAGCACCGCCTCCCCTCGGCGGCCTTCTCTCCCGGCGACGCTGCTTCCCTCCCGGCGGCCCTCTCTCTTCCCCTCTCTCCATGGCCGAAAATAGTGAGGTTATTTCCCAAAATATGTCCTCCAAAACCCCCCATCTTGCTCTCACAACTATCTCCAATGTGAGGTTGCATGTTCCCGTTCAACTCAGTCTCTCACAACCAAACTACAAAAAATGGAGTCGTCTGTTCCTCCTCCTCGTTCGGCGATTTAACCTTCAGGGATACCTCTATGGATCCGTCGTCCCCCTCTCCGACGACGATGACGAATGGTGCCAGCTCGATGCCCTTCTCCAGGGTTGGATTCTCTCCACCATCACCGACGAAGTTTCAGATCTGGTAATCTCTTCTCTCACCACTGCTTCTGCTCTCTGGAAGGTCATTCACGACCTATTTCACGACAACAAACATGCCCGGGCCATGCAGTTGGAGCATGAATTCCGCACCACTGTTAAGGGCTCCACCTCCATGGCGGCCTATTGTCAACAACTCCAAAATCTTTCCGATTGGTTAGATGATGTCGATGCACCGGTCTCTCAGCACCAACTAGTCCTCCAGATGCTCCGAGGGCTTCCCGCAGATCTTCAGGCTCAAACCTCGTTCATGCAGTTTCAGGATCCTATGCCGAATTTTCTTCAGGTTCGATCGGCTCTCATGCTTTTAGATCGCCAACGGTCAAACCCCGTTGACCCCGGCACCTCGGCCTTGCTCACCACCCGGGCCGGCGGCCAACTCCACGGCGGGACACACGGTGGCAGCGGCGGCTATGGTGGATCGCACGGCGGCAGCGGCTACGGTGAAGGGAACCCAGGACAGCGCGGAGGCTATGGACGTGGCGGTGGACATCGGGGTCGCGGACGTGGACGTCAAAACGACTCTAGGCAGCGACAAACCCATGATGGAAATACTACCTGGCACTCACCTCACCCAAACCCCACCCCTGGCCTGCTTGGGCCACGGCCCACACCCCACCCATATCCCCCCCATGCCTACTACACCACCACTACCCCACACCCGTACCCCCCCTCTCCTAC